TCTCCAACAAAGCTGGGCTAATTAGACACTGCTGTAGCACATTTGGCAGACTCAGGACTCATCAGGAGGATGAACATTTCATACTGCAGTAAAACCTTTTAAAACCAGATTCAGCCTCCAACTTGTTTCTGCATTTTTTTCTTCTTCACAGATGTTTTATTTTTGCCTTTATTAAATCTGTGTCCTCTTGATAAAAAAAAATACAACTGCAGTGCTGTTCTGAATTAAAATCTTGATCGCACCTCCTTTGAAAGAGGATTTGTTTTTCACTTGTTAGTGCCCACCACCTTGTCTCAGTGAAATACAGTCTCAACACTGACAATAAAAGGTGCTGTCACATCCTTTTGTGTGCAGGTTGAATGGTTTTAAGGGGTGTTTACGTGAGAGACACTGAAAAGGGAGGTATTCATTTTGAGAGCTACTGTATCTCCTATATACAGGACAGCACTGTCAGGGTGCTGATAACAGCTCACACTACAGAGGCCTGAGGTCATTTGGGACTGCCAGGAAATCCTCCCTCTGCTTATCCTCCTTTCTCACCTGCATTCCTCTTTCTTTATTATTATTATGTGTGCAAAAATAAATTTCACTACAGCTTGGTAAATCCCAGTGGTTTTACGAGAAAGTAAACAAACTGCATACCTACTGATTGACAGAAGCATTATCACTTTCTAGCTCGACCTCATCAGATCTCATGCCCTATGTGATGCTGGGCCTAGTTAGGGCCGGAACGGGAGAAAACCAGGCTGCAGGTTGTGAGTGTGGTGGTGGCCCAGTAGGTGGCGCTCTTCCCCCTGGGCAAGGAGGTCCTTTGGATGAGACAATGAAACGAAGTCTTGACTCCTTGAGTTCCCATGCTACTGTTCACAAGAGTAGTGGTATTAGCCCAAGTATCCAGGATATATTCCTCTCGAGGCTTGCACAACCATCCATTAACCAAACATGTGAAGCAGGTGATCACTTCTCTGCCTGACCTGCTGCTGGACAATGGCTGCAGTGTGTCGCCCAGGAAGGGGCTGCACCAGAGTGGGGGAAAAAGGAGGTCTATTCCATCATGTTAAGTGATATGCTGTATAAATGTAATTAAGTGTTATTTATATTTCCCTAAGGACAACATCATCCAAGGACTGAATGCTTGTGAAGGCTTGGCATACTTGGTGAGAAAATTTTGGTTTCACCCTCGTGGTTAATAGGGAGCCTCCAGGCCACAGGACGAACCCCAGTCAGACTCAGTGGACCAAAGGGCAGCTGCAAGGTGGAGACGGGCCAGGGAGGGATACAGGAGACGAATGCAAAGGGAGGCGTCCGAGTTCAGTTTCTGTAGCTGGTCTGGTGGTGATGGTGATATGAGGTGCAGCTGTGTGAGATCGTCTCTGCTTTGTTGTCCCTTCTGGATTTCAGTTAATAACTTCCATTTATCAGAAAAGCTGGTCTCTTTGAATTATAAACCGCTAAATGTGAGTGATCAACTTCATTGTATAGTACTGATAAGTGGGGAGTATCATTCAAAGCTGAAAAGCTGAAATACATCAACATCCTTGACTGTAGCTCACGACTGTCTGCTCCTGGTCCTGGAGGGGTAGTGTGTCTGCAGGTGTTCTGGGTCTTTTTAGAGCAGCCGTACCTGTTACATTAGTGCTGCTAAGCCAGGATCCAGCTGGAGTAGCTTTTTGAAAACCCAGACGGTGCCTTTCAATATCGCTGTGAAAGAGCTTCTGCTGCTGTTAACCGGCTCACCGAACAGAGAGTCTAGAAGATTACCCATCACAGCTGTAGGAGGTTAAGCTGCTTAAAAGATGCAATTAAACATTCGTTCACATTTCTTACTCCTCCAATGTCGTTGGCATACCTTGGTGGGCCATGTATTAAATGTACTGCAACACCAAATTAATCTGTCACTTAACTCAACTCTACCTACGATTGTTGTGTGGCCACTGCAAGTAAGCTACTGCAGACAGGACAGTTCGACTTTGGGCTCTCAGTGCTTAAAGATCCTCTGCATTTCAGGTCTTCTTGGGAGAGCACCAACGAAAATGTCGGAAACGTGCAAGGCAGAGTTTTTAATGTTTCTCTGAATGTCATGTTATGGTCAGAATACCGATAATATTTAAGGAAAGATGTTTGAATTACTCTAGTAGATAGATAAGAATGGGATTGTTGAAAACGATTTAGTCCAAATGAGTTCAGACAACGCCATTCTCTGGATTCAGTGTTCAAATTTGAACCTGGAATTAAGACCTGTGATCTATGGCCTGAGGGGAGAGGTGTGAGGACAGAGATTTGTTGATCTTTGTAATAAATGCAGGTTAGTACTTATGTATTTCCTGTATTTTCACATATAGCGTTGAAAGCATGGAATACAACATTACATACCACTTAAAGTTTACTAAAAATGTAGCATCTATCGTATGAAAAATGCCAGAAAATACCATCAAGTAGTATTTTTATGACTGAGAGTAGGAGGTTGATTAACAGGTAAAAGAGTATAACTGTTTGCTCATAATATATTTTTGAATGCATCTTAAAAGGGCAATGTTTGAGAGCAAAGTTAAATATTTAATGAATCAATAAGGCCCATTGAACAATGGCTTTTGGAAAACATGCCTTCAAATGTCTTCTTTCAGTCAAGGTTCATTATGTAGTTCCAGAAATGTCCCGGGAGAAACACTGTAGTGGCGTACTGTATTTTCTGCCATTTAAAGAACAATGCACACAAAGGCATGTATCCTCATTCCCGGGGACGTCTGTCATTCCTTGACTGTATAAGATCTGATACGATTGGTGGTCAGAAGGCCTGACAAGTACTGTACATCTCGGAGGTTGTGCCTTATTTTCTCATGCTTCGCTGAGCAAGAAAGCAATAACACCAGAATGAGAACTGGCGTGAAGACTGTTCCGTTTGTGTTTCTTCCTCACACAGAATTGACCTATTTAGTAAATTAAACATTGTTAGAATGAACCGAAACACTAAAAGAATTAACCTCAACATTCAGCTATTTAAATACTGTTAAGAGCATTGTTAGAAAGACCAATCCATAGGTGTTTACATGTGTTAACTCTAACTAGCTATTTTCTTCTGCTGATGGACTTTTGAATACATTTTATGTATCAATCATGTAGAAAACCATTGATCCTCGAAATAGGATATTTTTGTATCTTATTTTTCCTTCAAAAGAGTCCACTAAGACATCCATCACTAATCTTTACTGTCCTCGAATGGCAAGTATGATTATTTGGAATCCAATGACTCCACGACACTGGGTTTTGGGTTTGTTGTTTTTTTTCCCCACTCAGTTTCAGCGGTCGAAATCAGGAGATTTTTTTAAACAACAAGGGGAGGTGGAATTCCTCTTGCCTTCCCATCATGCAATGTGAAAGACACATCATGGTCAGAACAGAAAAGTTATGAAGGAAACATGAACAAAACAACCAAAGAAAACAGTGCAACGAGCTCTGAATATCTATCAGATTTGGGAAAATGCAAACATCTATTACAAGCGACATCAGTCACACCTGTTTTTGATAGAACAATAGACCAGGCTTTGACAGAATGATTTTCTAGTAAGTCAACCTGTCTCTCTGAGAATAGAAAAGAGATACAACTGGTTTGGGAAGGCCTTTAAAATACTTTACTGACACTAAGGGCTTGGGGGAAATCCTGTCTGAAACACCAAGTAAAAGGATGGGAGTCTCTGAACACAGGAATTAAAACGCTGGCTCACTTTTCACATATTTTCTTTATAACACGGAACTATTTGTTCTTTAATGCACATTAGTCAAAGCGAAAGAACCTTCGATTGAAGATCTGCGGTATAGAAATGCACAGTAGGTCACTGAGGGCGTCGTGCTGAGGGCAATACACGTCAACTCAGGCTTTCAGGGGACAGCTTTCAAACGACAAGAAGAAGACTTAAAACTGTTCTTTAATACTGTTCTATTGTTGAAAACGATAAAGAGCAACTCTGGGTAGAAGGGTTCTGTTAAGTGTTGGGCGAAATAGGAAAAAAAAGAAAAAGAAAAAAGCACAGCCATTAGAAATGTATGGATTTTTACATCCGAGTGCCTATCGCTCGATAGTCTTTCGCTTCACTGCCCGTCTCTAAGCGGCGATGCAGATCCGGTCACCTGGATCAAGCCAGTCTCTCGCATACCCAGACAGCTGACTCTTCTGAAGAAAAGTTGTCGGGTGTCAGGGGCTTTTCTCGGGATAAGACGCGGGTAAGGAAGGGGGGTAGGATTTGTTTTTCTTCAAACCAGGATCTGATCGGCAGGAGTCAAGGACACGGGTTTCATTAGCCTTATCAGGAGGGACTGCAGTCCCCGAAGCACGCGCTTCTTTTTTTTTTTCGTCTTTCTAGTACATTTTCATACGTAATTAAAAACACATGAACATAAATATGCTCTTACGAGAAACATTCTTATTACAGATTTTGGACAATCTCCGAATCCTGGACCCCAGGCTCCAAATTAGCTTGTGACCCAAGGATCACATACTGTACTGTGTCAAAATGAGTGGGAGGGATAGTCAAAATCGCAGACCACCAACCAAGAGTAGTGTGTGTATGTGTGTGTGTGGGGGGGGGGTATATTATTTAAACGTAAATCTGGTCTTTTCATCTTCGGGCTGACGTCTGAAAGGCGTGTCGCCTGTACTCAAACTGAGCCGCTGGGGTGCGACAGTGCCTGGAGCGCCGTTCGCAGTGACTGCCTTTCCACCTGGACCTGCCCGGGACAACCAGCAGTGAGCAAGACGAGATCGGGACTGCGTGTGGCATCTTTGCGGCCGGTGCGTCCTTTTTTAAAGTTTCTTATGCGGAAGAGAGTTTAAAAAAAAAAAAGAAGAGGCATTGCTGAGCTCATCGCATTTAGTTTCTTGATCTTGACTTTTTTTTTCCGCTGTGAAATGGGGAACACATGTCCCAGCCCGTAACTCCCCTTTTGTAAGATGGTTTTCAAGACCACCTGGAGCTGTAAGGTGAGCGCTTTCACTTCAAGTTCAGTGGAGAAGGAACTTTCCGCGAGGAAGTTCTACCATTTCAAAGCTTTACAGATGTATGACTATGCCGATACGCGACACATGTAAGTGAACACTACTTTAAGCAGTCATGACTTAATTTTATTCATCCATAAATTCGTTTCCTCGTATTGTTCTATTTTAAAAATACTACAATAAAACTCGAACAGCTGCGTTTGTGTAATCTGCAAGTAATATCTACAAACAAGTGGAAAATATGTAAATTATCTTTGTAAATAAATCGCGTTTTTATATATATATACACACAACTGTTGAGCAACAACATGAATCCCAAAACATCACTTCTGAGAAAAAAAGGCTAGGATCCTTAGAACGGTCTTCAGCTGGAAATTCAGAGAACCAGTATCTGTAGATTGCAATTTACAGGCAAGACGAGTGAATACGACAAAGCTTAAACGTTTAAGAGCCTTATAAGTCAAAAACAATACTTTAAAATCCGTCTTTAATAGCAGACGCAGGGACGCCCGAACAGGGCTGGTGTAGTCACAGAATAAGTACTTATTTAAAGATTTCTTTCAAGGGTGCAATCACCTGCAGAGAAGGAGCGCCGCGGTCGAACGACCCGAGAATAGGCGCGACGATCTGCTGGAATTTGAGATCTACCTGTTTGGGGCATGTGAGGATTACGGAAGCTGTGCTGTTGAAACGAATTTATTTTTTCTCCCCTGTCACTCCACTAACAATCGGGTGTGTTTATGAAAATGGGGACTGACTGAAGAGCCAAAGTAAAACAGAAATCTCAGAAAGTAAGCAGGTCAATTCAATTCAATCTTTAGTTAGCACTGGGAGGGTAGAGCTCAGCAGGAATGAGAGCCAGCAGACACAGTGTACCTTCAGGACCAGGGCTGGAAACAGATCTTTAAATCCTGCTGGACCAGAGTTGGGCTCCACTGGGTCTATATTTACACCAACAACATTACTTTCTTAAAACCATTATCTGACCAAATAACAGCAGATATGTTAAATACACCTTATTTTGCATTGTGCTTACTTCACAAGATGTTCATTTCAATCCATGCTAGTCATTAATTTCCACAGCTGTTTAATATGGAATCAGCATGAAAGTCATTCAAAAATTGAAAACTCTGCTTCCTATCTTGTCCATATTATCATGGCGGAAAATAAAGATTCTTGAATTTATTGATTCCCTCAGGGTCTTAATACATTCAGAAATAAATTAGATTAGTGTATTTGTTCAATAATAGTAGTCTACGTCAGGGCTGCGCAGTTCCACAGCCCCCCGATCGTGACTGTAAGCAAGCCCTGAAACCACCAGACTGTTGTCTGTTTTACAGAATGCTGTCTGGAAGAAAGATGCTTCTCTGGCACCTATCTGACAAAAAGGCTCTTGGTTGTCCCCTCTTTATCCTGCTTCTTCTCTGCAACACTCCTGAAGGTAAGACCACAACAGCGAATGAACCAGGTGCTCATTCCACAGTGACGCAGCTGAAGATGTAGCTTTGGAATAAAAATGACCAAGTTGTATGGAAAAACAACTCATGAATTAATTGAAGTTTAATTATTCTTTCTAGATTAGGGCCTACAGGGGAGATTTCGGCACATGTAAACGTCCAGGTGGTAGTTTGAATTGACATCCTCACTGTAGTTTGTACTTTGGCATACTAAGTCAATGGAATATTTTGTTTTAGTTTAGAACGGTACAGCTGTAATTGTGGTGTATTATGAGGGATGTTTCACGTGAAAGCCATTCATCTGTAGTGGAGAGCTGTCTGTTACAGGTAAAGAACTCTGCTTCTCCTTAAGGAAATTATTTGTGGGCACTTTTAACCAAATGCATACAAGGCTGAGTATGGCCATTCCAACGTGTGCAGAACACAGGCTTGAGCTGTTGTGGTGTTTCTGGTTCAGAGGTGTAAGGTCCTGTGTTGGTGGCAGATTGTTGTTGTACTCAGAGCGCACAGGTGACAGATCTCCATGGCCAACATTTAGATGTCCTTCCATACTGAGGCCATCGTCTGCTCCCTGTCTCTGTGCAAAGCACGGCGAGAAAAACCTCAAAAGCACTTGCTGACCAAAAAGAGGGCATTAAACTTCACCCCGCCTACAGTATATACTGTACAGTGCAGCGAGGCCATGTTGGTGGAAAGGGGAGGGTTTTTTCTTCATTTCAAACAAGACTGGCTACGAGCTCTTAGCATTTACTGACGTAATTGTCATTCCAGTAATATTATTGATACTGTGCTTAGCAACTAGCCATGTAGTGTGTACATTGCTTGTAGAGTCAAGCCTTTTTGATGTACTGGATGAAGTACTTGGATCTGATTTTGTATTGATCCCGAAGGGAACATGAGGTGTTAGAGCAGCCCAGCCCAAGACAAGCAATAACAGACATCAGAACAGACTGAAAATTAAAATAAGTACAGCCATACAAAATAAAATAGAGTTAGGTGTGTGCAAAATATGCTAATAGTCACTGTAAAACAACAACATATGTGCAAAAATATATATCTGGTAGCAGTATTACACACCATGTGTTTGCTGTACTTGTGATGTTTTATTTGGTGGGTGCTGGGGGGTTGCAGACTCTTATTCTGGCTGCAGTAGCAGTCCAGTCTACACCATCTTCCTGATGCATTTAGCAAACGCTAAACATTTTCAGAATCGAGGATATCTATTGTGTTCAGTCACACTTGGAACAGTTGCAGTGTGTTAGAATGAAATATTCTTAAGGTTTTCAGATTTCCTTTTGAGGAGGCAAAAAAACCCTTACAGAAGGGGTCCTAACACTGGTCTTGGGGGACAGCTGTCTGTCCAATTGAACCCTGAATTCAATTTGCAGGTATTCAGGTCTCTGTGACCAGGCTTGGGAGCCCTTGTGTTACAGTGCTGGAGTATCCATTTCCTGATTTATTTAACAATGTATTAATCATTTTGGTTGCAAAATAAAAACAGTTGTTATTGATTTGAGAGGGTCCAGTTTTTGATTTTTCAGATTCAGAATCCAATTTTCTTTTTAGGTAGGTTGTGGGTGACATCTAGTGGCATTCAATGGCATAATGACAAAGATCATGCAGTACTTCATTGACATATACTGACTGTGCTGTAACATTTTAACAGTGGACCTTACTTCAGATTTTTAAGGCAGACAAAAGTTAGAGATTCCTTAAAAATATATTATCGGTAAAGGCCAATATCCGTATTTGAACAGCATTCTTCAAATACCACAGAAATGAAACGATTTCAAACAACAGCTAGGTGTCTATTCAAAGCGGTCTATAAATAAGTCAATGATGATATCATCCACCATGAGATTGTCTTATAGGTATTGTTTACACTGTCAGAAGGTTGACGGTCCAGTTTCGGATTCATGTTGGCTTATTCAGAGTGAGGTGTGGCCGGGTGACACGCAGGAAGCACGAGGGAGAGTGTGACAGGTGTGTAGGTGCAGAAGGAGAAGGGTTCGGCAGTGACATAGCCAGGTTGTGAAATAATAGAACCTAGACAGGCTGTGCAATCTGATTAACTGAAACCTTTTACAAAAACCTTTACATTGACAGTTATCAGCACCCTATGCCTTAAACATGTGCATATCTGATACTTATCCCCCTTTTGCATTTTATCCAAGTAAGTTGCAGACAGGTGTTCCAATGATTTATAAGGACTTTTGAAAGAATTTCAGGGAGGAGGCCAGACCCTAACCTCTCCCACGTCTGCTCCCGTGGACGTAAAATCGCGTCCCTAGAGCACCCACTGGCGCACCCCTCCCTCCACCACGTCGTCACCCTTGCAGCGGCTCCCTGGCTCATTCCTTGCGAAACCAGTCAGTCTCGCCTTTAAGACAGAGCTGCAGTCTCCTCTGACAGGAGAGCGACACCAACAGAACAGCTCATCTGAATCCTGCCCAGTAATTAGGGATAGGCTGAACAATTGGACTCCTTTAAGGCACACCCTCCAAGTGCATCTATATTATTTTACTTATAAAGCCCCTTGCCAAACCCAAAGGCACGATACACAGTGCTAAAGAAAGAGAAAATACATATAACACACTGTATAACATGTTATATGGGAGACACATGGGGGCTCAGATGATGGAATAGTATGATTGGTTAAAGATGGCTGGGTCAGAGTTATAGCTGCTGAAAAACATAGCAAACCCAGGAAGAGGTACAGTATTAGGAAGCACTGGCACCATTGTACCACAGTACAGTGGAGATTAACAGGTCATTGAACGCAGTGGGTACCCATCCTAATGCGAATGGAACTAGAAGCAGTAGTTCACCAGGAGAATAGAAAGCATACAATGCACCTGTTTGATGCAGCAGTAACATTTTGTAATCTTTCTCCCCCCCCCCACCAGGGGATGGGTACTTCCTGGGAGGGTCCAAGGCGGTGTTTCCGAGCGGCTGTAGTCAGACCTGGACAATCGCGGAAGACGTGCACGTACCCCAGCTCACACAGCTGACTGTGTGTGTGGACATCAGGCTCCGAGCCTCTGGAGACTGGACCGCTTTCACGTACAGCACAACGCAGTCCCAGTCGCAAGACCTGGCCATCACTGGGGATAAGAAAAATGTTTACGTGTGGCTATTGGGCGTGCAGTTTCCGTTCCCCGTGAACCTCTCCTTAAATAATTGGTACCACGTTTGCCTGAAGCTAAATGGACAAAAACAGAGCATCAGTCTTGACATCAATGGATCCCCCTCGGTGCTGAAGGTCAACACCACCGTTGTGCCTCCAGGGGGCGCCCTGGTGCTGGGCTGCAAAGATAGCTCCACACAGCGGCCTTCCCAAAATCCCGGGCAGGCAGAGCTGTACCTTTTCCGGGTGTGGAGTGATATCAACAGCCACGGCACCTGCGAAGATGGGAATGTCATCGGCTGGGATTCGGAGCAGTGGATCTTCAGTAAGGAGACGCTGGTCCCCGACGCCTCCCTGACATGCAGTAAGCACGCCATTTTTCAGAACGCATTAGGGTGTCTGCAGTTTTTGCTTGCGCTTCACAACTGGACACGGTTCGCTGTCAGTTTCAGTCTTTAAAAGTCCGTTTTAAAAGCAGGAAGCCTTTAGAGGCTTGATGTATTTAACACGGATTTCACTCTTTCACAATAAAAGAGAATGTTGTATCAGGTTGACCTTTCTCATTTAAATGTAACTCAAACGGGTACAGAGTACAAATACCCAGCCCATTGAGGACTGCAGACCTACTGTACCAAAGCCAGCTGTGTTATGTACAGGAAAGCTGGGAGATTGTCGTGGTGTCTGTGCTGATCAGAGTCCTTTTGCTTTCTGGGCTGTGTGGTCATTTGGCTGTTTGCTAGGAAGAAAAAATATTATCTTGTATTTCCCTGCAGCCTAGTAATACTGTATCATTTTCTCTTCCCTTACCAACGGTGTTTTTACCTCCTCTCTCCTTAGGTCTCACTTCAACCACAGTGCCCCCTGTGGCTAATCCTTCCCAAGGTGAGCAGGAGCATGTTATGTTTTATATAATTAAAAATATATTTTTTTTTTCTCAGATCATAAATTGTAAGAGATAACGCCACTGCTCCTACAAAGGGTTTGCCGCACTTTCTTGATGTTAAGTCTAGAAGTGAACATAAACTGAATGACTTTAGCTGTAAGCGTGTGCTGGCAAAATCAAATCTATATAAGGAATGCTATAAAAGTAGTTGTCCGTACAAAAATAAACTAGGGATGATCAGTTACTAAAGGAATCTTCTGGTTCTCTGTACATTTTTAATAGAAATTCGGGCCTTTTCCATAGAAAAATAGAGTACCCTTATGCTCTTCTGATAAGGGTGCGATAGTCAGTATGTTTATTCCAGGGTTGGTATCATTAGCTGGGTATGCTACTGAGCATCACAGCCATATATTAGCATTTTGCTAATGGGGTTGCACTGATTAGAGACTTGCATCTGTGCAATAAAACCTCAGACCTGCTATTGGGCTATAGCACTGTTTATCTAACACCATTTCGTTGCCAGTTTTCATTGTCCAAAAATAGCAACATTGAGGTCATCTATGTGTAACAGAGAGGCATCCAAAAGTCAGTGCAGGATGGCAGGAGAGCTGTGTGCAGGGATGTTACTCCAACTATTTCCCAACATGCCCTGCTCCTCTTACCACCTTCTTCAAAGACACCAGAGCTCAGTTTTTAAACGGCCTGATTATCTTTCTGCAAGAGCACTTTCACGCACTGTGCACAGCGTGTCAGCCGGCACCTACCGGCAAGCAAGTGAGAAACTGTCACGGTTGACTTTAGGCAGCTGTTTGCCAGTAACCCACCCACCAAGAGACCGGAAGTGTGCTCAGGCGAAGGTCCAATTTTTTTCAGTTGCATGAAATCTGATAAAGCGGGCCATATTTTTGTTTTTTTAAACTGCATTGAACTTTGACTTTTATTGTGTCATCCTATAGGGACAGATTTCACAGATACGTTTACTCGGTTGGGGGTAGAAATAAAGCATAGATTATAACCAAGATTAACCTATTCTTTATGCTCAGCTTCATAGCGGTGTTACGTTTCTAACTTTTTAGGATACAAACGTGTTAGACGCCAAGGTAAGACCCCTGCAGCTCACAGCTCTGCATCTCACCTGTCCCTTGTGTGGATTGTGTCTGGTGTGTGTGTGGGGGGGTGTGCTCGCAGCTCTGCCTTCTGTTCTGTCTCCCCTGTTGCTCAGGTTTTTAAGGACTGCGTGAGGCATTCCCAAGCATTGAATTCCCATCGGTGTGCGGAAAACCAGGCCGAGGTCCAGTGCTTTTCTGATACATCCTAAGCTTGAGTCCAGTCTGAAGTAATTTTATGGCACATTGCAGGGAAGCACAAGTGATGACCATCAATACTGGAAACTCCATTAACTAAATTATGAATTTGCTTAACAGACAGTCTTATCCAGGGTGACTTCTAAAGTACCCGGTTTACCTTGAGGAAACAAGATATGATCACATAATAAAATGACAATTTCGATTAATATAAAGAAATAAGACTGGAAGCAGAACACTGGTAAAAAAAGTGAAACATGATCTCCGGTCAGCATAGGCTTGGATCATTGTGCCATTTTGTTTAAAGGGCCATTTCCACTGAAAAACCAATCTCCAGCATTTAACTGGATTCAACCTTAAAACAGTTCAGCTTCCTTTAAAGCTTGTGAGCAATTGCTCTTGTACATATTCCAATTCAGTCAATGTATAAAGAAAGCTAAGTAGGATATAGAATTTGTTATGTATTAACCATTGGCTTTAATAGATACATTGGACTTTTATGAGGTTTTGTTGTGTTTGTGGAAAGCAATGAATCAAAACCCCCACAGGAGCACCCAGGCCAGCTCTGAGGAACTCCTTCCAAGAGGGAAGAAACGATTCACAGGACAGAAAAAACTGAGCAGAAATCTCAGTTAAAAGAAAATCAGGGGAAAATCATTTATTTTCATTAAGTCTGGTACTTTCTGAAAACCTTTGACAGAAAAATTCAATTCAACCAGTCTAGATCCACATACAAATAAGAGGTATCAAAATGCTGATCTTTTATTCACACGTATTTGTTTTGTATTACATTTGTTGGATTCTTAAGTTACTGCTGCTCAGATTCTTCAAATCGGACAAATGTCAGTGTCATCAACAGGCAGAACACTTTTCTTTTCTTTTCATTTGAAGCATCAGACAGGCTTGTGCTCTTCGGGTTATCCAAACTAGATACCTGGCCTGTACCACAGAGAAGAGAAACACTTTCACTGACAGCCATTAGCAAGTGCAGCCACAAGCGAAAGAAGATGGCTCACAGGGCCTGAGCACTTTGAAACCCACAATGAGCCAAAGAAGCACGGGGACAAAAATCAATATTGTAGCAACTGGCAGCATGAAATAAAACCTTGCTGTTCCTACGCAGCCCTAAAGAAACACAAACTGCCCTGAATCACATTTTTATACTAAAAAGACTTCATCATACCTGCATAAGAATGTATAATTCCTATCCATATCCAATTAACTAAGAATGACCAAATTTACCTATTTACAGGTATTAGAGGCCTGAACTCACCCCTAGTGGCAGGACAACTGAAATAAGTCTTTTAACAGTCTTTTATTACCTTATACAGTATGCAATTACATTAAACACATGGTATCTTGTAAAGCACTCTGTGCTGTTTAAGTCAGAATGGTATCCTATGGCTTTTCTATTAGAGTATTGTTTCGCAGTACCTGACCGTGCGTAGTGGGAAAATAGCACTCTCTGGTGTCTGCTCTGTTACTTCATAAGCCGGACGACACAGAGTGTGGCACTGCGTGCAATGAAGCAAACCCACAGATAAGAGCAGGAAAGGCTGACAGGACCTCCACACAGGGAGCCACTAATGGATTTTACTCTCACCTGCTCCACTGGCTTCCCGTACCAAGAGTGCTATAGTTAATGCATAAAACAGGTAAATGTATGGAAAATTAGATAAAAAATTTATGGAAAATTAGATAAAAAAGGAAATGTAAGAGAACAAGGAGGCTGTGTCTGACTGTAAAAGCAGTTTATTTACATAGGAATAATTTATTCACAGAGAACACATTCTTTTTCTTGTTGCTATTTTAAAAAGTGCCCAGACGTGATTCTCATGATTGTTTCGGTGCTTCAGTTTCAGTGATTCGCTCTGCTACTGCAGGAGCACCTCCGGACCACACAGGACTCACAAGGGTTTGAAATATGCCACGGCCTGTACCCTAAGCAAATAAACATGTCCGTGGTGCTCTTAATAGGTTTTATAAAGTGACGGAGCTTCTTCCTACACAAATACACCACATGTCATAAAACTCTGTGAAATTTCAGAAACCAAGAGAGCTTATTCCTAACAAGGTCTGTGTCCTCTCCTGCACTTGGTCTTTAGTTTCAGGCACAGACACAACCCCTGTTACTGCCACAACTCTCTCTGCAGTCATTCCTGCTTTTATTCTGGGTAATTGTGGCCAAACGATCTGCTGATCCGCTCTGATTAAATTAATTCTGATTCGATTCTTTACCATTTGCTGAATCCTAAGGCGGACGTTTGTTTTCCCTTCAGTGCTCAACGTTACTGTTCCAGCAATACTCCATACAGCTCCTAAAGCCATCGGTGAGCAGACAAAAAGAGTGTGGGAAAAGACACATTGATCACAGAGGAGGGACTGGGAATCAGAGAAGAGTCCCTATTGCACAGCATTTTAATACATTGCATGTTTTAGGAGATGCAGTTTCTTACATATTGTGTGCTGGATATTTGAATGCTGTCACCTCACGCTGAATACATGTCTCAAATACAGCCATGAAGTGAAGATAATAACACTTTTGCTTTTCAGAACCATTTGTACAAGAGTGGGCAGCTCATAAAACATTACACATGTTTTAAGTTGCCCACCGTAGTTTTTCCCTTTTCTGGTTCTCTGTGCCAGTTTCTGTCTTGATTTGTGTTGCTTTTGTTTGTTGCTGCAGAGTGCAATTCAGACGCTTGTCCTTTGCTTGTAACTTTTTACTGGAAAGTGTCTGGTGATGGGATTCAGCAGTTTCCTGGATGGCTTCCGATGGTATAAGGGGAACATGTGGAGTTGTCATGCACAAACCGACTCGCTGTTCTGAGGCTGTGGCCTTTAGCCACTGTGTGGGATTGAAAATAAAAAATCCTGCCTTTTCCATTTTTACAATATTCACATTGAAAACAAAGTATCGTCAAAACATTATATTTCACAATCACAGCAAAAAACGGACACAGAAGCTGTAGTATAATGGTAAACACTGTAATGACTTTGGCAATTAAATACTGAGAAATGAGACTAACCCATACAGTCATGTTTTTCAGTTTTGTCTCAAGTTGCAGAATACTGTAGTTAAAGTCTGTATCTAAAACACATGGAGCAGGTAATCAGGAGACACTCAAAGGAAATATACGATGCAGAGCAAATTGAAAGTAGAAATACAATTAACCACGACAACAAGGTTTTATGAAACAAAATAACCGACTCCAAAGGTTCTCTTGTAACAAGAGAGGTAAAAAACAATTTAGCTGGGAGGCTATTGTACACGGGACAGGTTTGTTCAAGATATGGAGAAATCCAAAGATCTAAATGAGTTGATGACAAAGAGACCAAAAGCCAGTCCTCATGTGTGTGTGCTTCGGTCTCATTGACTCGCTCCTGTCCAGCTGGATCCAGCACAAGACCTGTAGCTGCTGGTAAGCAAGGACAGGAGCACTACTGGACCACACAGGACTCACAAGGGTTTTCACTGAGAAACTTCTAAAAGGACACGAGGGGAAAGTGTGCTTAGGAGACAGAGGTTTAGAAATGCACAGAGCTGATGCCACAGAGGCCTTGACTGCATTCTCCTGTGTGTCTGTGCTTCAGCTTCAGGGTCTACCTCCACTGCCCCCTCTGCAAACACCCCCAGTACGACAACACAGGCTGTATCAGGTGAGCATAACAGTTTAAGGTTTTATCTGTTAACGTTTGAGACATGCAACTGTCTGTGCTCTGAGCAAATAAGTTTGGGTTGCACTTATTAGGTTTTATCATGTGTTAAGAGCTTGTTTCAAACTGGGATTTGATTTAGCCTCTCCTGTTAGTCTGTTCGTCACCAACGATCAGTGCATCCACAGGCACTCATGATGATGATTCACCTGTGCTTCCATTACAGGGTCAGGTGCAACCGTATACAGTGCAGCTACTCCTTCAGCTCCTGCAGGTAAGGGAAAGAGATGCCGAAGGGCAGGCTCTGCACATCCATGGGATGTCAATATGCTTAATAATTTTCCATTTAACGTTTTAACTTACTCCCACAACTTCGACTGCACTTCTCGCTCCCTTTATAAGCACAGTAACATAAGTAGAACAGGTGCCCTGGGCATGATGGGCTTCAGAGGTTTTCACTCTTAAAACGTTCAACACAAGCAAGCCCAGGCCGTACACCCACAGAACTCAAAATCCCAGAAGCACGTTTATCGAAACAGGGCTGAGAAGGCAGTGTTATAATGCCCACATGCTAACAGTCCATTCACGTCGTAACTATGGACAAGATGACACACGGGGCTCTGCTGATCAAATGCATGCAACATTTAATATAAAAGGAAATCAGAAAGTCACTAATTTTACTGTCAGTGACAGTTGACTTTAATCTTGTTTACTGTACTTCATTCTGATCAGATCAGTCTTTCTTTTCAGTGTCCAATTCTACCACTACTGCCACTAATGCAGCCGGAACAGTGTCTAACACTACAGACAATCCAGCAGAACCCCTCTCCACCCCAGCTGGTAAGCACTGCTACCCCAGAATATATAAGAACTGCATATATTATGGTAAAAGTAAAAGTAATGAGCACAGTACTTACCGGTCTGTGTACAGAGCAATGTCGCTTGATCTCTCATACAGTGCAAGCAGGACCATCAGTTCTCTCTGGGGTTTGCTGTGCAAACTCCAGCTCTCCATGCAAAAGGAAATGAGTGCAGATGGCCACCTCTTCCAAATGGCTTGTTAACTCCATCCTGATCATTTGATTGCAGTGTCCACTGCTGCTGCCCATAGTACGTCCATCACGACCACTGCCAGCGAGACAACAGGTAGGATTTACCGTTTTCTGTCAAATCCTATTGCAGACAGTCACTGCAACGCATTAGAATAAAAAATGGCAACGCCTTAGAACACAAATAAGGTTCGTCTGTCTGTTAGAATGTTTTCCACAGTGACGTTTGTAACGAAGGTCCAGGGGGGATGACGACAACCAACTTCAATCAGACTCGGCTGTCAGTAATCAGCAATCACTCCTGATGTCATTTCCTCCTACCTGCACCCCCTCTCCCCCTCTGCACCTGCCCCTGGGTCGCCTCTCACTCTGCAGGGGGTCCCTGCCTCCTCGTCCCCTGGACAGGAGGTCATTCCCTCAGCCAAGCGGGTTTAAGCCACATTTTCATTAAACACTCCAGGACACTTTGTTCTTGGGAGGTGTTTTTCCCCAGGAATTCTAATAAGTCCTAATGATTGCAAACTGAAGTAACGAGCAAAGGAAGTAGACATCCGCTGACATTTGAACCTCAACAAACTATTGAAATGTATTCTCCACCTCTTAAAATAAGAGACTATTGTATGTACCCTAATGCATGTTAATTACTGCAAATACAATTCCAATGCTAGTAACAATTTATTATATGTACTGTATACGCATAGGTAGCTACTTGCTAGAAAAACACAGGCGCAGGAATTGAATGGGACTTTTCCTACAAATTGTGATGCAAATTAAAAAGATTATTATTCTCCATTTACTCCATTTTAACTCAACACAGCTGACAAAAAATAAGTAGTAGCAAACAGCAACACTTACCCTTAAGTTATACACACATCTTCTTGTATTTAATTTAGTCTGTTTGTATGTCCAGGCACTTCTGATTTCAGCAGCCACACTCTCACAGTGGGGGGTGGGTGTGGATATAAGGGGGAGGGGCCTTCTGGGATTTGTAGTTCTAGAGCAGGGGTATCAGGGTCAGTTCTCTGAGGGCCTAGTAACTTCTGGTTTTTGTTCCAACCCGAAGACACTAGGCCATGCAGGAAATGAGTCTGACATCTCTGTTCAGACCAGTGTAGACCGGCTTCTTCTTACTCATTTGAAATGCTTAAGGGTAAACATCATGTATTATTAATATTTTATTTATATTTGTTAATGACCTCAGGAGCATATTGCTTGATTGCTTCAGAACTGGTATATGTAGCCTCTGTCCTTCTGGAGGGGGGTGAGATGTGTTGAATCACGAGATCACCATATACAGAGGTGTTTGGGAGAATAATGTCAGAACTGTATTGGCCTGGACAGAAGTTTTGTGATCTCTATTTAAACAGGTCAGATAAGCAACCTATAGGGCATCAAACCCTTTCTTTTCTCCAGTACAGTTCCCTTCGGGCCAGGCTACAAGACTGCCAGTTCAATTGCAGTACCCGGCCAGAGAAACAGTTTCTCTCCGTGCTGAGAAATATTGCTCTTAGAAATTAATATCCAGCTTTTTGTGCCAAAGGAAATGTTTGCAGTTGGCCACTGTTTGCAGCCATTTGTTTATGCCATTCTGACCAGATGAATTTTTGTTTCAGTGTTTAATTCTACCACATCCACCAGAGCATCCAGTACTACTGCTATTTCTCCAGAATCACCTGCTACACAAAACAGTAAGCATTGAGATCTTTGAGTATCTAACCAAGCACCAGGCACCAGCACTTGAAAGGAAAGACATAACACTGTAGTTACCTGTTTGTCTAGGTCCTGTGCAATGTCCTCTGATTCCTCATACAGCAGGTTTCTGTGCAGACTTCTCAAGCACTCAGTGCAGAAGGAAACATGTTTAGATGGAAATACGTTTAGACTGCACTCCACTTGTTTACTTCACTCTGATCAGATGGTCTTTCTTTTTAGTGTCTGATGCTGTGACTCCTGCCTCTAACACAACCAGCACAGTGTCTAACACTACAGCCAGTCCAGCAGTATC